CTGGCAGCCCGTGCTGCCTTACTGCCATCGCGCTGCTGCCGCTATGTGCGGGCAGCGCGACCACGATCGGCCCTTGCTGGTCGTGCGACAACTTCCTCCAGCAATTCCAACTCAAATCAACATGATTTAACATAACTTGATCAAATATACTTAATTTACTCAAAACTTCTGAACTTTGCTTGATGATTTAAGTTAAGCCAAGGCGTGCGCGCTGTACGCCGCCTATGACCTCAACCTATCTCTTTGGCCGTATCTCAGCTATTTCCTTCGACAATTGAAGCATGAATTAACATAATATACCTTAATTTAACATGACATGAACTATTACACATGGTTCGCTCAACAACACACAACTAAGCATGGAGATGGCCGTGACGCGCACACCATGCGCGGTCTTTGGCTTTAAGCCAAACACTCGACCAACCTTGAAAACCTCTCGACCAACATGAATTAAATAAGTATAAAATGACATGGTTAACTAGACATGAATTGTTTGGGAGTTGCCGGGTAAAAACGAACATCACATAGTCACGGCCTAACATGGTCTAAACCGAGCATAACTCAACTTTTCATGATTCGAATGACATGAACTGAACCTTATTCATTTAACCTGATCACCCTAATATGGATAGAGGAAGAAAACGATGATACCTCTACAAACTCTCGGCTATCTTCACAAGAACGGGCGTAATTGCCCTTCTCCGCGCGTGTACGTGTTAGCCGTGCGTTCAAATGGCTTAACCTCTTGTTGATGTCGAAAATCGGACGATCAACTGTTAAATAAAAGTCGAATTTCTTGAACAAAATTGGAGAACAAAATGATGAAAAATGTATGTTTCATTTCTTGTTGTTTTTGGAGAGTGAAAGAGAGAGAAAGTGTTGGGGGAGGAAAATGACTCATCCCCTTTTTTTTCTTTTTGTTAAGCCATTTATATATATGGCCATTTTCTACAAGTGGGAGAGTAAATGAGTAAAAAATATTACACCATTATTTAATATGAAATAATCATTGTGGGACCCGCTTATGACTTTTGACGGTTCCGATTAACATTGGTCTTCTCGGTAATGGACGGATTTGACATTTGAGGGCTCAGTCGGCTTTTAGATGATCAGTCTTGTGTACCTGTTTGTATATATATTTGTCTCGTATTATCGGCTACTCGGTTATCGAGTCGTATTTTATTATTTTGTTTATCATTTAATTAATAGGAGCCAAATTGGGTATCAACAGGAGGCCCTCGAGTTTAGGACATGTTCTTGATTGAACTGTTCTGAAGTCGCGTTTAATCTTTACAACTTTGCAATGTTTTTACCTCAAGATCTCTTGAGCTTCAGACTCTTTTTATTGTGTTAGGATATCGCGTAATGAGGGATATTGGTGGAATCACAAATATGTAGATGAGCGCGAGTGGCGGAAAATTTTCGCGTGATTCATGAGATCACTTTTTATCTTGTCAGTTTTTGGCGAAAAATGGTGATTTTATCACGATTTAGTATGCAATTTTAGGGTGCTTTGGGACCCTTGAGCGTCTTGTTGATCTTTGACGAGTTGAATCGGTTTTAGTGAATGGGCGACTTTTCTGGCGTGATAGGGCCTGAATGGCCTGGACGGGCGATTTGGTGCCTGTTTTTTATGCATGAGTGCCTTTTATGTCGACATGAGTGAGCTTAGAGCTCTTTGTCTGGGTGAGCTTTGAGCTCTCTGTTCGATTGAGCTTTGAGCTCTTTGTTTCTTACGAAAATGCATGCAAAATGCGATCATATGTGGAATGCGTGAATGTATGATGAATGCATGT